TTCCTAGCAACATTTATTACATTGTATTGCTGACTTTAGAGTAATATGCATACTTTTTATTTCTTGACATGTATTATTTATTAGTAATATATTAATAAGAGATGTCTACTCGAATCACAAAATTATTACATTTGCGACTTATTTGATGAATTTTCCATGACATTACAAAAATAGTTCTGCAACTGCAAATTGATGGCGATGAGCTCGGCTTTCAACGAATTCCCCGCTTTCTGACATTTGCATTTAATGTCTGAATTATTAATCGAAATTTTCATCTAAAAGCTTTCGGCTTGACGTCATTAAGCTCTCATTATCACTGAGTCATTCGAATACTCTGTAACCGTGTGTGTAAATAAAAGAGTTCTGTGAACATTTCTGCTTTTTGTGTGAATATCGGCTTGTTTGAATACATATTCTCTTTTGAAATATTAACGTGTTTTAAGAAAAATAAGAGATTCGCTTGTGCAGAGATCCGACTACAAAGTATCTGCTCGTCGAGCACTTTGAAGTGGATTCGTCTGCTGATTAATACTCAGTAATTTGCGGACTTACATGCGCATTTTTACAGACTTGGCATACGCGGTATTCATGAATAAATCATTTGTCATTATCTGGCTGCCATCATAGAGAATATTTCAGATGCGAGAACTCGACGCACAGGTGCTGACTGACAGCGATTTTTAATTAATCGGGAGCTCATAATAGTATTAAATATAAAAGTGCAGAGGGGAAACGTAAAACGTGTGCAGATCCATATATAATGCTATGCAAGAGGGTCCCTGGTGGGGAGTGCTGGACTAGGAATGCACAAGCTACTAAATATTAATATATTAAATATTAAAAATTTACTGTTGAATATAAAGTTAGTATCTGGAATATCTTATGTATATATCATAATGCCACACACGCATATGTACATATATACTTCCATCTATGCTGGGTATCTCAGGTTCAGTTATAGATTGTACTCAAGCCTCAGCTGAGTAAGTACGTTCGCTGGCAGTTGTTAAATTAATTTCGAGTTTAATTACGTATATTATTTCTTTCCTTTGGAGCCTTTTGCTTTTTTTTTTTTGGATCGTGGGCAACTGGGAAACTTTTTGTGCGTTGTTGGTTTCTACTTTACATTTGCTCATAGCTCACAAATTGTACATATATGTATATGTGTGCCATTATACAACTGTGTGTAAAATGCCACAACTTCCAACCAGTTCGGAATTTCGGTGCAATAACAAACTGTTTAAAAACTATTTAACCAACTTTTGCTTTGGCTAAAAACTCGAACTCTTTTTTATGTGAGATAAAACATTTCCCATATTGATATTAGATTTGTCTTTGTTTACAATAGGATTTTGGAGTTCTATGCGCAATCGTTGATTATTTTCACATAATAATTGGCTTTATGAGGCTCTATTTGCCTTAATTAAGTTTAGTTTTCATAAGATAATATTGGCACACAGGAATTAGTAAATAAAAATTGCATTATATTGTATATTCAGGTTTTACTTTTGATGAGGTGAATACGTTTTTAATAACACCAAAATTTCTCTTTTATACTGGCAGAAGAAAATAAATAAAGTTACAGAATCTTAAATTTTGTATGATATAAATATAATTATTAATATAAATTTAATAAGAATTTCAAATATAGAATCCCTCTATATTTATTTTCATTAACGTTCTCCTGATACGAGTATGAAATTCGATATGTGGAAACGGAACATTTATTCGCATATAATATTGAGTAGACATTTCAGCGTTTCATTGCGCTGTTGACCTTATTCCACTTCCATGTGCCAAACTGAATATGCAGTCACAAATAAATCGTGTTAAATTATACTCGATAGAATATGCTGGAAAATCAACTCTGTCATAAAATACAGAAATACATACATGAGCAGTAAGTAATCAAGTCTCCTTTGCTTTCTTAGACTAGACTCAAAGCTTAACTGTCAAAAGGTAAGAAAAAACAAATAAAAATTATTTCGAATTCCGATATAATAACTCGTGTTGTCAGTTGATTTAGTTGACCAAAATGTGCGAGAATATGGATATATCTGAAATAAAGGATGTGAATGAGGATGTGTCCTTCAGCAACGACGAAGAGTGTGGCAGCAGCAGCAATAGCAACGGCAGCAGCGGTAAGAAAGGCAGCGGCAGCAAGAACGGCAGCAGCAGCAGCTGCGATAGCAGTAGCAGTGACAGTGGCAGTGACTCGGAGGCGGATAAGCCATCGGCTCCCAAGAAAGGAGGGAAGGCCAATGNTTATTCCAAAAATTATACAAGAATTTCAATTCATATACCATATTCATTTTAATTCAGTGTAGTAAGGGCGTGCTTAGTTAAGGTAAAAATATATGTGCATTATAAATTTAATAAGAATTTCAAATATAGAATCCCTCTATATTTATTTTCATTAACGTTCTCCTGATACGAGTATGAAATTCGATATGTGGAAACGGAACATTTATTCGCATATAATATTGAGTAGACATTTCAGCGTTTCATTGCGCTGTTGACCTTATTCCACTTCCATGTGCCAAACTGAATATGCAGTCACAAATAAATCGTGTTAAATTATACTCGATAGAATATGCTGGAAAATCAACTCTGTCATAAAATACAGAAATACATACATGAGCAGTAAGTAATCAAGTCTCCTTTGCTTTCTTAGACTAGACTCAAAGCTTAACTGTCAAAAGGTAAGAAAAAACAAATAAAAATTATTTCGAATTCCGATATAATAACTCGTGTTGTCAGTTGATTTAGTTGACCAAAATGTGCGAGAATATGGATATATCTGAAATAAAGGATGTGAATGAGGATGTGTCCTTCAGCAACGACGAAGAGTGTGGCAGCAGCAGCAATAGCAACGGCAGCAGCGGTAAGAAAGGCAGCGGCAGCAAGAACGGCAGCAGCAGCAGCTGCGATAGCAGTAGCAGTGACAGTGGCAGTGACTCGGAGGCGGATAAGCCATCGGCTCCCAAGAAAGGAGGGAAGGCCAATGCCGATGGCGTACCCGAAGAGACCGACGGGGACCGGCCTGCAAGCCCTGTACCGAGTGCTTTCGATCTCTCTCGAAAGATTGACGCAATGGTGGCGGATTTGGAAAAGCATTGCAGGGAAACGTATAAGGGGAGGCTCCGCTCCGAGTTCAAGGCTGTGATGCCGCCAGTCTATAAGAGGCATTTGGGTGGCCTTGATAGAATTTTCTGCATCCCGCACTCTATGGAGCCGCAAGCGTTCGAGGCGCAAAAGTTTCAAAGCGCTCTACTCCCGGATGACCTTAAGGACAGGCAGTCTCGGGATGCCTTCATCTCGAGACTGAAGACAACCATCCGCTGGCGCCAGTGTGAGGATAAGGAGACGGGCGCACTGTACAAAGAATCCAATACCCGCATCGTGCGCTGGTCCGATGGCTCGGAGACCCTACACATTGGCGCAGAGGCCTATGAATTGATCAGTCACCCTACGCCCTTAGGGCATGATCACCTGTATGTGCGCCAGAACAGCCACCATTATTTGATAGGTCCGATCAGGGAAAAGATGAGACTGCATTCCGACATAGAGTCGAAGTTTGGCCAGACTCATGTGCAGCCGGTCAGCAGCTGTGTGAGCACTAACCCGATGCTTGATCGCGAGCGCATGATCAGAGAGGACCAGGCCCAGGAGCGCAGAGAAAAGTTCGAGAAGATGCGTGAGCAAAAGAATCAATGCAAACCGACTGTGAAGCCAACGCGCTACTGTACAGCCGGGGACAGCAATTCGGCTGCACTGGCCGCCAATCAGGTTTCGAGACCAGATGATCATGTATTTCGTAAGCCGTTGCTTCCTCCGATCAAGCGAGCGGCAGGCGCTCGCGCCAAACGCAACACCAACGTCAATGTAGAGCAAAATGAAGAGGACATTGACAACGATGTGGAGGGGAAGGAAAAAGTCAGCCCAGGCATTAAAAGAAAATCAAATGTGAAGCAAGTGCAGCCCAAGCCCAAGCGCAAACAGCCACCAAAAGCCGTCCTTAGTGACTCTGAATAAACTTGACACAAGTATGCCATGCACAATATTCAAATGCGGTTTCTATTGCAATTAGGTTTGAGGTCCAACTCTCGAATAGTTGAGTAGTTGAGCTGTTAAGCAGTTGAGCTGTTGAGCTGTTGAGCTGGTACTTTGCAGCCTCTCGAGTTTGCTTCCCATTTGCAGTTAATTAACTAACCCTAACTGCATTTGGTTCAAACGTGCTTTACATTTTGTCACCTTTGCCCTAATTAGTGGTCTGCCTCTTCGCTCTCAATATTAAGCATCGCCGGAATTCCAGAGTCCAGTTGCGCTGTCCAGATATCTCAGATTGCCTTTGTTGAGAGCCGGTTGTTAGGCGTGTAATATTGTTACGGCCCAAGATCTATTCAATGCCTGGGGGCAGCAAAGGTGAATTTGGCGATGGCTAACGAAGCTCAAATTTCAATTGTCATGTGTATAGCGTTAAAGATAAACTTAAGTTGTAAGAATTGAGGTAAACAATTATCTGGGATAAAAATTTATTTAATTCCTTAGTCATTTAAACATTTTACCTTCTACTCAATTAAATTTAAAAATATTCTCTCATTCCAAATGTCTTAAACAAAAGGAATTCTTTAAGAAATATAAGTTAGTACTTTTATAAATACATATTTGTGATTTAAGCTGCCTAAAAGACATATTTTGTGGAGGTATAACATATGTATATGTCGTATCAGTGCGCAATTAGATTGTTATTGAAGTTACAATATGATTTCTTGATTCAATAGTGTTGAGAAAGACTGGCAATTCGTGTTAATCGATTGATTAAAGGATGCACTGCCACTAAGAGAGGGACAGCAATAGCTGTTGCTGCACGTAGTCCCGGGTGTAGCTGGGTGAGAGCGAGACGGCTAGTTAATCTTTCGCAGCAGGGTGGTTGTGCTTTCGATGAACAAGAATATGCGACCATGATTAGAGGTTTCGACAGTAGAGGAGAAATCACACTTGGTCAAAGACGAGAACGAGACAGACTATTTAAAAAGAATTTAGCAACACACCGGGAATTCGCCGGTGCGCGCAACGAGAAACGCAACGTCTATTTAACAAAATATATAAAAAATTTAACTAAATAGTATTCAAGCTAAAAATTCGCTTTAAGTCATGACACTGTGATTGAGTTTGAACTAATGATAACTTAAACGATTATATAAAAATAATCCGCTTAGTGAATTATTTCCATTCGAGTTGCTGCTTTTAAGTAAATTTCCCTTACAAACAAATTGTAGTTGTTGTTGCTGCTGCAATAGGTGCAGTTGTTGCGGTTATGCATCCCATTGTAATGCAGGTGGGCCTTAACTTGTAGCAGACCATAAACTAAACTGTCACCGATTTACGTTGCTTTTCTATTGTGTCCAAAGGGTGGGCCAGCTGCAAAGCTCAATGATTTGTATTTGTGCTTGTTGAAAATCTTGTACACCATTATGCTTATCTTCTGGTGGATCCCTCAACCTAGTGGGTGGCTGTGGGCCTGCTGATGCAATTTGGAGCATCTGCAGCTAATGAAGCTTGATTATGTGTTTATTAGACACCAATTTGGGCTGCGTCTCTATGGCATTCAATTTCAGACCCTATTATTGTCCATTCATTGCGAAGCAATGCAACTGATATTATTTTTGCTGGCCTCCTCAATACTTGCACGATCTCTGCATTGTGCATGGGTAAGTTTGCAATTTACTTAAATGATAATTTACATGGAATTCAGTAATATGTTTATTTGGGATAAGCTGACTGTAGTTTAATGCATATTATATTCAAAATCTATTGTGTAAATGAAAATTCTCATTATTTTCTGCAGCTGTTCACTTTCAGTTTACAATTTTAGAGCCATAAAACAGAGCTTTAAATTGTAGATTGCATTCCACGAATGTTTTATTTAAAAATATATTAAATTTATTACAGCATAATCAGAATTCTGTTGTTACTATTTTAATTTCAATCCATTTACTTTAGCAGAATAAATAATAAATAATAATTCCGAATTATATATAATAATTATATATGAATAAGAATATATATTACATAAATAATAATTGCCAAAAATAAATATTAAATAAATGTTATAGATAAAGTATATAAAATATGAATGATATTTTAAAGCAGAGTTTGTTAATTTGATAATGGCGAAAATTAACTTGAAATGTGCTGAAAGATGGCCTTAATGATGGCTTAAATGTTGCTGTTTCAGCAGCATTTTGAAACAACATTAGCAATATCAATTAAAGTCTACGTTTATGGAACTACTCCCAGTTTCAAATTGGGAAAAACTCTTAGCTGGCTAATGCTAAACGTTGGTTTTATGTGTTGATACAGGGCTCTTTGCATTGTTATTGGTTAACTTGATGACTCTAAGGGTTATATGTTGCAAATAAGTGGCATACATTAACCCATCACACACACACACACACACTCGCATGCATACTTTTGCTTGTGTGAACATCATCATTTTCGCAGATCAGGGCATTTGTATGTTTGTGTGTATGTATATGTAGTGTCCGTCCATGCATTCATGTGTGTATATTAGGGAATATATGTATGTATGTATGTATGTAGGTATGCTGTGTTAAGCTAACTTTATTCACAGTTTACATACCTAACAGGCATTTAATATTTATGAACAGAGAAGCATGTAATAAAATTACAGGCGACTGCCGCAAGCACAAACGGTTTTGAAATTCTAGCAATTAAGACGGAAAATTACATTAAATTTGCAGGCCAGGCCCAGTGGGCAAGTAATTAAAGGCCATAATAAAGCTTAACTTACACGAATGTGTGTCGCCGGATGCGGCAAGTGGGTGTCGAAGAGATGCGGCATGCAATAAAATAGATTCTTGGCCACGCCACGTGTCAGCTGTCAACGCTGCAATTTGACACAAACATCGACAAACAGGCCAAAGAAAGAACCGCAAAGCGAAATATTGCGTGCGTGTGTGATGTGTGTGAGTGTATTGGTATACCCGAATGCTTGACTTGTCCTTAGCACGTTGGCTTTGTAGCGTTTTATGTCCTGCGGCTTGCATTATAAAATTAGTGACATGACAGTCACAAAATCGTCTAATTGTGCCAACATCCTTTCGGGAAGTCTGTCTCGTTCTCTCTACTCTGTCCTTGTTTCTCAATATCCCCTTGTATTTCTCTTCATACGTCCCTCTCTTTCTCCCCTTTTAACTTTGCTGTGCAATGCTTTCGTCTTTGTCTTCATGTCTGTTTATGACAGTTGTCAAATTTTAACTGCCCCCTTTAACAATTTGCAATTACGTAACAATTTTACTGACATGTGTGTATGTGTGAGTGTGTTTTAAGCTAATATTTGTTTAAGTAGATGACGCTTGACTCTAAGAATCATCCAGGCACTGTGGGTCTTTGTTGGCAGCTTTGGAAAATATCCAATTTCTTTCAATCGGATAAAATTTCTTACTTTAAAGTAAATTTTTTGTTTCTTGACATCTTTTAAAAACATTTTGCAAACATTTCTTATGCTTTCTTCCATTTAAAAGTTATTGTTTTTATAGCATAAAAGTCAAAATAAACCCAATGTGCGGCAGTAAAAAATATTTGCAGCCTTTCTCCTCGGAGTATACTTCTTATACGCAATTCGATAAGAGACATCAAGATTGGCAAGCAGACACATTTGAATAAGTTCTTATATAAATATTCCCCTAAATTATGCGCTGATTGTAAATTTTGCCAAGTTCTATTTAATGAGATTAGATTTCATTTGATTTACAAAAGGTAAATAGTGGGTGGATTCTGCTTTTGCTAATTGCTCTTGCGATTCATTAACTAACTCTTTAATGGCTTACACTTTGAGTGATTTGAACTAAGAGTGGAAAACCACATACGATTTCTAAGCATGCTCCACTGACTAATTACTCGGCAATGAATTCAAGCAAATTAATTGATTTAACAGTGAAAACTCATGCAGTGCGCAGAATACTCCTTTAATTAATACATAGTCGAAGATGATTGCGTCGAGCTTTAATGCATTTAAGAGCATTTATAATGCCCAGTCGGTGTGGCTGCCGAAGCAATGAACTTTTGCATGCAAACTCAATTTACTAATTGAAAAATCGATAAATCATCATATTAATTGTGGCTTATATCCGTATCAATCAGAAAACTATTCGAGTTAGCAAGAATATATTATTATAACTTGAGCAAGGGGAAGCTTATATGAGTCTACACACTCGATAGCCAGTGAATCTACCTGAACTAAGTTGATATTGAGAAACGAACCAATGGCAGCAACACAGTCCTATAGTGGAATTTATTCATTGGAGTCTTAGATTATTATTGGATTTTGCTGAATGTTTATCAGTGATAATAAAAAAAAAAAAAAAACACAAATAATATACTACTCTATCATTATTATTAATTTATATGTTTAACAAGTAAGAAGACTCTAGTCGAGACTGCTCGACTAGGAGATACCCTGAACCCTCTAAGCTGATATTCTAATCATTCTGCACTTCTTTTATGCACACATACATACAGATGCATCCACACGCACGCATAAGCCTGCGCTCTGCTAACTGCGCAGTAAGCAGCGACTGCGCTTGGGCTGCGCTGCAGTGTGGGCAATATTATGAGAATTTATTTGTCGAATAATTTCTTTTGTAAACATATGATCTTAATGAAACTTTCAGAGTGTAATCATATGGTAAATATGTGTGTACATTCCAAAGCACAAGTCTCTAGTACTTGAAATGCGTTTTTTACAAATTGGGGGAGAAGGGGGCGTGGTATCCAAAATCTGTAAATTACAAAATCTTTGTATCGATTAACTTTATATACAACACAAATTTGAAGACTCTAGCTCTTATATCTTCTGAAATCGACGCGTTCATACATACGGACGGACGGACGGACGGACGGACGGACGGACGGACGGACGGACGGACGGACAGACAGACGGACAGGGCCAAATCGACTCAGCTCGTCGCCCTGATCAAGAATATATATACTTTGTGGGGTCTGCCACGCCTCCTTCTGCCTGTTACATACTTTTAACAAAACCATTATACCCTGATTTCCCATTTTCAATGGGTTCAGGGTATAAAAA